CGTATTTGATTATTTTTAATTAATTTATTTTCAATTTTTAATATAACATGAAGTTGTAGCATGATTATTTATTTAATTATTTAATACAGAGAACAAATTTAAAAGCCATCCAAAAGCTTTCTCTTTTTATGTTTCATATTCATAATGATAATTTAATTAATATTCAATTATTTAGATATCTAGATATTTGAGTACGCAAAACTGATTTGTACTTCATTGATTTATATTTCCATATACGGAATGATATATTCGATTATTATATATTATTTTACAAAAAAAGCATTTTGATATTCGCGGAAATAAATGCTTTGTTCTTTGTTTCGAAATGAGAGAGGATACTAGATATTGCCATCAAACGACAATCGGATTCATATTATACTGATATTATATCAAATGATATTATAATTATGTGATTACAAGAGCTTTGTTGAAGATCGTTGTTTGCATAAAGAATAGATTTTTTGTTTTATTCTGTAATACTGCGATAGAAGCAGCGCGTTTGAAAGCGCGTTAGAAATGATGTTCGGTGTGGAGCAGATAGATACGGTATATTACGTTGTGTAAGGGCGAGGGACATGCGCCTAACACTCATAGATTACAGATAATCGTGGATAAGCTTGTAATATTGCATCGATGTACCGCGTGATGACCTAATGCCCCACTTATATCTGCCTAGGTAAATCGTGTCTTTCTCCAGATCAATTTGTAGCTTTGTATTGCAAAGTCCTCACAGTGACGGAAATTCTTTGCATTAATTTCGCTCAGGGTATAAGGCATTGAAAGATTTAACAAAGAAAATTACGGGAAGTCATGATAATCAAAGGGTAGAACTTTAATCCCTGACGAATCGACGTCCAATTTTGTTGGGAAAATAATATACACCTATATGATAATACTTCCTATACGAGAATATCCTATGTTTCATACACGACGACGGCGATATCTTGTTATGTAAGCGAGTTCCGAAGGTCCTTTACTTATTGTCCTTTACTTAATGTTTTCTTAATGTTTTCCACGTGCGAAAGTCGCTTCCTAAAGTATGTATTGTTCATCGCCATCGTATTATGTTAGGCGCCGAAAATATATCGCTCGCATTGCGAGTTACAACGCGTGAAAGAAGACTAACCATTTCACTTGCAACGACTTCGGTATTTCTCCGGATCACGTCGCGCGTTTCCTCGTGGAGGATCCACTAATGTATGCCTGAAATCAATATTTCACGTCGTGTCCAAGGCACATAGCGTATCTCGGAAGTGACCATAATTCTCGCTTAGCTTTATCTTGGCGCCTAAACTTACGCAGTCAGCCAATTTGGTTAAATTTGCTCCAACGAACTCGTTGCAAAGAAAAAAAAATGTAGACGTAAAATATTGGATTTTTTTCTTTCTCTTTTTCGAACAAGAATATATTTCCATCTTTGGTTTCATCTCTTTACTTCCACTTTCACTTCCCATTTTCATTCCGATCTTAAATTGTTTATGTAATTGATAGTTCTGTCTCTTTTAAAATTAACATACTAAAAAACTAGAAAAAGTTTAGCAATATACACTCTTGAAATATTTATTAAAAAAAAAAATAAGAAAGATAACAATTATCCAATTTTTATATGAAAATTTTCCGAATTATTTTTTTATCTGCAATCTGACATTTTGAAACATCTGGATAGTATTGTAAAGAAATAAATTACAAGATATCTTGTATTTATATGCATGATAATAAGAATCAGTTTATGTAAGAAAAAAATGTAGTGCTACAATGAATTATGCAATGTATCTTTGCAACATGTAATGTGCTATTCTTGATAAATTTTTTTTTCCGCGTATTTTGATACATTTTCGATGATTGCATGTTATTCTACGAGACAACTAATAAAATCATTGTTGGCGGAGTAAGTGGGAGGACATGTATGAGGATATGTATGAACGCGTGATATTCGTCCTTGCATCTCCGCGTTGCATGGGGATCTCGGTTTTAATCTCAAACCGCAGATACGTCCCACTCGCAAATACGCGCCTCTCTTTCTATTTTTAACATGTTTCTTCGTGCAATTGAAATTTCGTATCACACAGTGTACCTATAGTCGCTCGGATTCACCGATTCCTTTAAAGAGAGTCGGGGCCGTGTTGTTTTTCCAGGCTACGGCAAAACCCACAAAGACGCTGCCAGTGTTCGCACAACGCACTCGATACCAGCCGCCTGCGGCTTATACTATTTCGAGGTGAAGATCGTGAGCAAGGGGCGTGATGGTTACATGGGCATTGGTCTCTCAGCTTCTGGCGTCAACGTAAATAGACTTCCTGGCTGGGATAAGCATTCATACGGTTATCACGGCGACGACGGTCACAGTTTCTGCTCAAGCGGTACTGGACAACCTTATGGACCGACCTTCACCACCGGCGACGTGATCGGTTGCGGTGTAAATCTCGTTGACAACACCGCCTTCTACACGAAGAATGGCCATCACTTGGGCATCGCCTTCACGGATCTTCCTGTAAGTTATTCATTGCATCAATAACAACAACGAAAAGATGGAAAAAAAATGGAAAGGAAAAAAAATTGGAAGAAAAATACTTTGTTATCAAAGGAATTCAGGCACATATAAAAAAGAGAAGAAACGACCAATGAGCCATAGAAATCTTTATCTGCACTTCTTTTAGTTCTTGTAAACTTCAGTAGATACAATACAATTTTTTCCGTGTATTTCTTTTTTCTTCTTCTAGAAAATTCTTATATATGTTTTATTACTTATCATTAAACTTCGCGTAATAAATTTCGCAAATATAAATCATGAAAATCATTTTACGAAAGAGACAACAACACAAATTTTAATTTATTTAATATTGATAAAATAATAGAATTTGTGAACGAATTATATAAAACAAAATCTTACTTAATTTTTGCAGCCCAATCTCTTTCCGACGGTGGGTTTGCAAACTCCAGGCGAAGTGGTCGACGCAAATTTCGGACAGTTGCCATTTGTCTTCGACATCGGGGACATGATCAACGAACTGCGTGTACGAACGAGGTTACAGATCATAAACTATCCCATGCCAGACCACGGCCAGGGACAGTGGCAGGCGATTCTTCACAGGTACATATACGACCAGAAAACGAGGGACAGGGACCGGGTGCGTGATTCCATTCCCTTCGTGGTTGCTTTCTCTCTCCCTTCGTTTGTCCGTTAAAATCCTCCTTGATTTGCGAGAGTTCTTCCCAAATGCTTGCGCGGATAAATTGAGGAAGTTTGCGGGAAAAAAATCGCCACGGACCAATGTTCGCGGTATCTCTCGAGAGTTAACGAAGCTCTGTACGAATTCGACAGAATGGTGTGTACGTATCTCGTCCATCATGGGTATCTCGACAGCGCCGAGGCATTCGCCAGCAGCACGGGTCAGGTGTTTGAGGAGGATTACAACTCCATCAAAAATCGGCAGAGTAAGTGTTGTGATTTCGTTGTCGCTCATTCGGGATTGTCGCTCTTTCGTAAAGAACCTGAGAAAACAATGGATAAATGTTAAAATGTTGTAAACATTATTTATAATTTATCTAAATATAGCATTTTCAAATTAAATTTAATGAAGAGTGACAATTCTGCTTGTTGATTATCAAACTCGTACCACATCTTTATACCGTGATTCAACAATGATTCATAGGGGTTATAAAGCTGATACTGTCTGGTCGCATTGGCGAAGCGATAGATACGACTAATCGGTTATATCCCGGTCTACTCGATCGGGATCCGGACCTCCTGTTCGCGCTCAAGTGCCGTCAATTCGTGGAAATGGTGAACGGCAGCGACTCGGAGGTCTGTCAGAACGGCAACCCCAACCAGACTAGTGTGATACAATCGACCAAAGCGTACGTGAAGTCTGCAAATTCATCTGGTACCGTGGAAGAGATGAATATCAATAATACAATAAACGGCACCAGCCCACAGTTCGTTAACGGTCAGATAGAAGATGATGTAGACATGGAGGAAAGCAGTGTCACCAATGTGAATGGTATCAAGAATAGTAATGGGTATCAGAATGGTAATCTGGATTCGAATGGGTACAAGTGTCAAAATGGGGAGGATGTAGATATGGGTGAGATCTCAATGTAGTTTGCATTGCAAATACATTATATACACGATAGATTGTCTTGTAAATAAATTCATGTCAGGAATTTAACAAGTAAAATAAATAAAATTATAGATACAACGTCGTTATATCTATATAAATATGTGCAATCAATATAAATTTTTTAATTATTTTCATAATAGTTAATTATTTTTAAATGATTTCCATGACAATTTATATTAGAAAAAATGCAATTCTTATAAAATAGACAAATATTGTTTGCAGAAATCGACAACAGTGCCAATCAAACTCAACAACAGCAGACCAGTAATATCCCGGATACCACTGCAACATGTAAAAGTAAGAAGCAATTGTGTGGTGGTAACAAACAGGCAATTGAGAAAATGCTGGAATTTGGCAAACAATTGTACTCACAATCGGTGCATTTGAGACAACAGTACGGAAAGAATGACAGCAATAAAAAGATGTTGCAGGACGCTTTCAGTCTGCTGGCATACTCTAATCCGTGGAATTCACCAGTTGGCTGGCAACTGAATCCTCAGGAAAGGGAAACAGTTTGCGCCAGGTTAAATTCTGCTATTCTAGGTAAGAAAAAAATAGCATGTTTTCTTTTGATATATCTATAGATAAATATAAATTATTTTCACACAAGAAGAAATCAGATTAGATTAAATTAAATTGGATTAATCATTGTTTTGTTATAATCAATTAATGATTTTATTATTTTTTGTGATTCTTATATTTCTTAAATTCTGCTTCATTGCTTAATTGCGATAATAATGATCAACAGAGTCTAGTAATTTGTCTCGTCAGCCACCGTTGGAAGTCGCAGCATCTCATGCCAGAGAACTTGTACGTTTGATGTCGACTAATGGCCTAGGGGCCTGCGGATTTGCAGTAGTAGATAATATTATCCAATATTGACGGTGCCTATCTCTGCTACCACGTCCGCCTCTTTTACCAGTGCGAGTATGGTGAGTAACAATACTCGCTTTTGTATTTGCGCTTTTGTATTTGCGAATAAGATTGCGAAATCATTTGGAATGATTTACTGCGAAATACACGTTTGCATATTTTTCATCGTCGAGAATGAAACATATATGAATTTTGACAAACCAATTGTTTAAAGAAGAGAAGATCGCGAATTTTATAATTCTCAACTTAATAAGCTTCAGTTTGAGAAACACACGGATGATCTCGTGGATGATCTCAAAATTGTTTAATAAAATAAAATATTTAAAAAAGAGAAATAATTCTCTCTTTCTCTTCTGTAGAATAAAAATGTTTAAGGAGTGAACTCTCTTCTAGGTAAATAACGCGGATTTTCCTTTTTATCTAGGTATGGAAACTCCATACAAAGAAAGATTAAGGTAGGAAGTGCTGTGTGCACTAATTTGAAAATCGTTTTGATTCTAAGCGCGGCAATTTTATTATTACTATAATACTTATCGTGTCTTTAGTATTTCTCCGATATGCATGTGAGTCTTCTCCGTTGCAAGAAACTGAGAGAGGGAATCTTATAGGATGCAGAGGCGGAACGTGGAGCAGATTGTTCTGTTAACGCAACAACATCGCGATGTCGCGTGCCTCTTCAGCTAGAGCAGCCGGATTCATCGGTGCCTTGGCTCGATCTCACACCACAGACACGAACATACAAGGTGAACGCTCAGACCTGCCAGCCAAAATGACACCTCATGAATTTTTAGCTTAAATCGGATGGACGGTCACTTTGGATAACTACTACGCCGACCAAGAACGAGAAGCGGCAGTTCACGATGCTGATCCCCCGTTCCCGGGGTCGGATCGCAGACGTATCGCGGCCGACCATATTACATTTTTTGACATTGTTATAACTATTTATATGATTTTCTGTATCTCTTTATTTTTTCTCCCCTTTTTACTTTCTTTTGTTTTTTTTATCAGACACCAACATTTTGTTTGCAATCCACTTTACCGTGACTAGCGCTGTGAAATGTATGCGCGATAATGCCTCGTAGTTATTCCAACTGCGAGAATTCGCGCATAATTAATTAGCAGCGGCAAGCATTGTGCAATATCACGGTTCCACAAGAGAACACGAGAATACGTTATTGATGATGGAACGTACAGTTGAGGTCATCTCGTATAGACTTCTCTATGAAGCTGTCGTTCGTATCATCATCAGTCAAGATTCTCGCATTAACTCGCGTATCGTGCGGCGCACTGTAGGGTAACCTGTAATCAAATTTATTTGCATTTAAGCGAGTTGTGTCAAAGATAGTATTCAATACTGAAAAAACGATCAAACGTCCAACCCGATTAGATGTAGCTAAATTTCGCTGATGGTTATGGAGGGGAGGAGTAATAGACGTATTGTTATATATCGAGCTTTGTTTGTTTAAAAAAAGAAAAATTCATCGCACGAACTGTCGAACTAATCTTCCGCACTTGTTAATGATTCTACTTAATTTTCATTTAAAGCATTCTAACGATAGAAGATATTTTCTTCACTTGATATTATTTTGACAAATCGGCACGAAGATGTATCTTGATTTTCAGAATTATTCTGGGAGCGGCGGAAGCATGTTCATTTTAGAGATGGATGACGTCTTACGTTTATATAAATAGTTGCGAAAAACAAAAAAATCTGTAAACTTAACTAAGGAACGATCTTGTACTCTATACTAAGTAATTGTTTTTTATATGCGACATAGTATATTATTATATTATATATTATTAAAGAAGAAAAAAAAGAATCACAAATAAGAAAATCGTATGCAGCTAGGCGTAAGCGTGCGTTTAAATACAATAATTTACTATATATACAAAAAAAATCATATTAAAATAGAATTACTCGAATTTAATGATTTTTAGTGTTATTGTTTTATGTACTATAGATAGAGCTATAAAGAAATATGTGCGAATATAGCAGTGATTTGGCCAACATGGTTTATAAGTCATTTTGTTTCGTCGCACATGTTGTTGTTATCGCGATTATCCCAATCAGGATCTTCGTGTAAATTTACCTAATGACCTATTGTACAAGCTGATCACAAAAGTTGATTTTCGAAATGATCATCATTGTTATTTCGAGATTTGTTAGAGCACTCATTTTGTTATGCGACCGATGATGTTTTACAATCTGCTCATTTTTGTATCAGACCATTCATCGGAACCTGCTCAGTAGAATCGTCGGCGTTCTTATCTCTGGACATTTTCATTTGCACCCTTTCAATCATTGGCTCTCAAATATCGTTTTTGCCCCTTGCCTGCCTTCTAAGTCTTTCGACGATATTTTCAAAGTGCATATATTTTAAGTAATAAAAATACATTGTAATATATATATATATATATATATATATATATATATATATATGCCTATTTAACGTAACTTGATTTTCGTTCTCGCTTGATTAAGGCTTACGCGATACGTGCGTTTACGCGTGATACGTTTGACAACGCATCGGTGTACATCGCTTTTTCATTTTCCCTCCGAAGCTGAGTATTGTGTATTCCTGTATCCGCCATGAAGTACGAGGGACGATTCCCTGTTTGTAACGAAAGGATAATGCATATGCGTGTGTAGGGCATGCACCAATCACGTCGTTCACGTCGAAAGGTAGTAAATGTTCACTGGAAAGATTTCCTCTTGGGTCTTCTCACCCGAGGTGACTCTTGCACAAGATGTAGCTAGCGTACGTTGTACGACAGATGACGTTAAATAGGGAAGCAGTTAAACACTTTCTCGCTTTTACCTTTAACTTTCGAGGGACTATTCGCACTCTAACGTAAATCGCACACGCACGCGCGTATACGCTTTTTAAGAAATAACGCCGGCGACAATCTAGCCATCTCCAGGCTTGTGTATGACGAGGATTCATCGCGATGAATTAATTTTCATTGATTAACCCTTATCCGGGAGGTCCACTTTTCTAAAGACAAACGGGTAAACGATACTTTTTCTCTCGTAAGAATCTCGTGTAAAAAATGTATTACACGTATATAAATATATTTATCTTTATATAATCAAAGATCGCATGTATACATTTACAAAGTTAGGAGTTATACATTTACAAAGTTACACATTTTAGGAAGTAACTTTAAACTTTTATCGAGGAATTGAGAGCGGCAGTTTGCCCGGATACGAGTTAAATTAATCAACATAAATACGGATTATTATAAATTCTCGTGGTGTTGTGATATTTTGTTTCGCACCGCGTAAAAAGAGTCGATGATACTTATTTTATGTGCGTACCGTATGTACGTGCGCACGTGCGTGTGCGTATGTACACAGTAAATATATATAAATATATCTATATTATATGCCCTTTTTTTTATATGACGAAATAATTGTAGTTTGAGACATATGAGAGTCAAATATCTTGAATAATCCAATTTTAGTGGGAAATGGACGAACGCAGTGGTGACGAATTAGTTATTTCTAACTCTGAGTATGTTGAAACATATTTTAACAATAGAAACGTTATTTTTATACATGTACGACGTAGTTGTATCAAATGAGCTGCGTGGCGTCGTGTGTAACGAGATATGTTACAACGTAGTGGAAACATTTAAAACATTGTCGTCGCTATATAAGTCCTCCGTGTTTAGGAGCATGTGCAGGGTGATTCGGAAAACGGGTCCGGCGGGTCAGCGGAACACTCTGTAACACGAATAAAACCAAATCGAAAGTTCATACTGTTAATATGTTTTTTAGCAACACTTTTTGTAATAATGAAACGAGAGAGAGAGAGAGAGAGAGAGAGAGAGAGAAGAAAGGAGAAAGAATGGAAGGAGCGAATTGCGGAATGTAGATAGAATAACGTACGACATTCTCTGGAAATACAGCATGACGACGATCAAGGCTGCTGTACACATCTTTTTTTTCTTTCTGTCTTTATCGATTAAGCACCTTTCGATCTATGTTGCGAAGCTTTCGAATAACGAATCCTCGTCCCGAAATGCAATAGCGATGGGCAGTGGCTCACGGGGTTGTTCCATATCAGTTGTTTTACCCTTACGAATCTTCGATTCCGATTCCGATTAGACGGACGATGCTTCTGACATTTCAAGAAACCCAAGTGTAACATACAAAGTAACGTACATGTAAATAAGTAAAGCGCACGCGAACAGCTTGATGGAGTGACGGCACGAAGATCGAAGTCAGTGTAATTTCAACGAACCGGCGAGCGTAGGTGAGTCTAATTCGCGATTTTTAACGGTCGACTGACGTGACTCGGAAAAATTATTGCCACAGATCTACATCTTGATTGAAGTATTAAAAATCGCGGATTAGACGGTTGTGTTCAAAAGGTGGATTGAGCTAAGTGACATTTTTGAACGACGTTTGGTCCCTGCTTCGAACGTCATGCAATTAAGGTAAAAATGATTCTCATTAGCCAAGGATTCCAATTGATAGAATAGAGAATACTCGGATGGAAATTGTTTTACGATTTTACTGTGCAATTTTTGATTATTCAAGACCTGTTTAGACCGCCACCGACGATTATAAAGTCGTTACTCAGTAATCAAGCGAGTTGTATTTTCTTCTTTGTGCAAGCCGCATAAATCATTGCGTGATTTTCGAATTCGGATGATTTTAAGATATATTGCTCTTACAGTATTTTAATATCGCAAGATAAATTTTGCGATAATCGATCGTCTTCGTGGCGCGTAAGTTGTAATGTGTTAAGGTAAGTCTGACAGTCTCTTTATCTTTCTAGAGACAATTTTGTAAAACATTTTGTCGAGCTGTTAGCAATAAAAAGTGACTGTGTATCGCAAGGAGCATAAATTTGGAAGTATTTCGTATAAAGATATATTTCAATATTTTTTTCTGATGTTTCCTTTCGTATTGAAATTAAAATTCTAAATTCTAGCAGTTGATTTCATATTTTTGCAGATGAAAGTTACAGTTAATTGTAAAATCTGATTGTTGTAGCGAAATAAATATTGACTTATGGTGGTTAATACGTTACATCATAAGATATAATAATATACTAAGAGTTTGTCGTTTTTCCATTAAGGAGAATAGAAAGATTTGAATATGCAAAAATTCGGTAAATTTGGTAAATTTTGACTTATTAATGTAGACATAAAAATGAAATTAATTAAATATAAAATTCTTTTATAATTCTTTTATATTATATTTTTAATTAATATAAGTTAAATGATTTACTATGAAAAATTACATCAAAATTTTGGAAGATTTTTCAGAGATAATTCGAAAATGAATTAAGATATTAAAGTTTTTAAAATTAAAAAAACATTATATTTATTATAGAACTGACTACAGTTAACTACATACTATTAGCTATTTATTTTAGTAATAAAAAGCATTTTATTTTTTATTTTTGACATTTTTGCCGCTATTTTTCCACTTTTAGCAAATTTTATTTTATTTTAATTTATTTTATAGTAAATAATTTTCGAAATACAATGCCCACTTGTTTCAATTAAATATAAATTGGATCATCCGAAATTTCTACAAAATTACAACACCGTGTAATTTTCACCGCACAATGGATTAGATTTCAACAGCTTCATGTCAATATTTTGTAACTTTGTAAAATAGTTTTTATTAATATATACATATATATATACA